GTCCTCGAGGTCGGACGTCTGCCTGGACGCTGCCTTTAATTTTTTTCACAATATTTTGCACGATGTTTTGCAAGTCATATACACTTGAAAGCTCTAAGCTTGCTCTAACTTTTTACTATAGTATCCTACCTCAAAAGAATTCGAACAGTTTTCCAGCATTGAATTTAGAACAAAAGGGAAAAAGTCCATCCGACAATCATCTTTGCTCGCCCTCCAACTAGGTCAATATGCGTATTAAATTGCTCCAAAATCTGCTAAGCGTAAGGAGAGAGTACTACAGCTTTTGCAGCGATCTGGGAGCGATAGAATTTTCAAAAAAACCTCTTCTGTAAACTCATGAAAGTCTTTTTTTGTCACTTTGATGCTGAAGTTGAGCTTCTATAGGCAGTCGTGATCAAGGACAATAATCTACAAAAAACAAAAGATGGCCTATGGCTATAAAATCATCAGATTCAAAGGCGAATTACTCCAAAAGAGGACCCAAAACGACGAACATCACCGAGACAAACTCTTGCTTCACCGAAGTCCGAATGGCATTAAAATTTGCTAGAAAGAGGTGAATAAGTATAAACAGTAATAACACCTACATAAGAGTCTAGTGGATTGTTTCGCTTGTAGTCATTAGATAAATATCATTGAGAAAAATTGAGAAGGAAATATGGGGCAGAACTTATTGCACAATTTTTATCTCACCATTGTACCTCATTATCCTGTTTCGAGATAGCATCACAACTCAAAAAATACAGTAGCACTTTTCAGGCGAAGATCTTCCTTCACATACTGAAGTATATGAACCTAAGAAATTGCATTGGTGTGTGGTTGAAACTTGAAACCATGAATACATCTCTAACGGAGAAGGTACTTCCACGGAAATTGTTGTATCCTGTCTTGAATGCTATTTTGAGGCTTTGCGTTTCATTCTTTACAATTTGAGCAGAGGAGTGCGTGAAAGAAAGATCTGCCTACAGTTCTACAGGTACAGTCTTTTTCGATGCGGAGTAGGCGAAACATTCCAAGTGGAGCAGCTTCACATCGCAACAGGTTCGGCGAGATAGATTAGAATTTAGACGCAGACTGCATTGCGGCGCACGCAAGTTGCAAAGCGGATTCCCGCCAGTCCCGCCTAAACTGAGTTAAACTTACCATAAATTGGTTTACTTACCATATTTTGTTGGACTTCAGTTGAGCTTTCAGAGATTGCTTTGATAATGGTCCTCATTGCGAAATAAGGACCATTATGACTGACCTTCTTCCTCTTGAGCGTTCAAAGGTTATCTCCTTTGTTTGTGAAGGGAATCGCTGAAAAAGTTCTTCGCTTTTTGTATTTAGCTCATTTTCAGTTGTTAACCGATCACATCTAGTTCCGTATTCAGAAAGCAATACTCGCTTCCAAAATTAGTGCCGAGATTTGGAAAAAAAGCTGATTACCAATGTGCAAAAGTACCAATAATGCATTTTAGACTGACCATGGAGCAGCTGCGAAGGCTTTTAGACGATGATAGACTGAACGTGCGAAGCGAAGATGAAGTATTGGACATAATGGAGGCATGGATAGGTTTGAAAACAACACTTCTGTCGAACATTGTAATCTACAACTTTCTCAGATGCTTGCGATGGGCGTCAGGACAGTCGCGACAAACTACTTGGAGCTGTAAGAGTTGATGGTTTATCAGCTGAAGTGAGAATTCAACTAGGTTTATTTACGTGATGAGCAAAATTTAGAAGAAGAGCATTTTTGTGGCAGAAAATCGTTTACAACTTCTTTGTCAGAAATCCGTACGTCCACCACGCGATCAGGTAACTCAGCGACTATCAAATGAGCACAACCGTCCGAGTTGTTCAGCTAGTAATGTTCGGTGGATGGTACGGCGGAAGAACTCATTCGCGAATAGACATCTACGATGAGGTGAATGTTGAGATGCACTACCCCATGCTTACTTTATCGGTTCAGATGAGAAAAGAGTGGAAACCGCTATGCGACCTTAGCCTCATCCATCCTATTGCTTATCACGGCGCCGTGGTTTTGAACGACGTAAGTGATGTAGAACTAGTACCTTTAAAGATTTTCACACGTACATCATAAAGCAATTTAGAGAGCTTACCCTGCTTTAGGAACTTTATGTCATTGGTGGCACTGATGGTGAGAACCACTACAGCACTGTTATGAAAATGAACATGTTTGGCGAATGGACGGAAGTAGCGCCGATGTACGAAACAAGGTAATTGGAACAAATGAACAATG